TGTCCCCCCGCCCCATGAGGCTGATGCTGGGAATAAGCCCTTGTGCCTGACTCTCTTTGGACAGAAAAGTGAACTTGGTATCCGCAGGGAGAAGCCTGGGGTTGTGGCCCATCAATTATTTCTTGGAAAGGCTGAGGCAGAAGCTCTGTCGGTCTGACAGATGCCTTTGCCGAGGGTTAAGTGTATGTGACAGGCTGAGCCACTTGTTTATTTCCTAGTGACTGTGCCGAAGAGAGATGGAGCCATCTCTCTCCTTCTGTACCCAGGAAGCTGGCTGTGCTTATGGTCTATTTAGAGGGCTGTGCCCTGATCTTAAAATACAGCCACCTGCTCCAGGCGCCTGTGGAGGCCTGCCCCTGGGCTGGGAGGACCTGCTGGGATGGAGGGTTGGGGAAAGGCACCCTGGGATGGAGAAACAGGGGCCTTGGGTGGTGGCCCAGATCTCTGCACCTGGGTGACTATTATCTCTGCCAGCATTGATCTAGGCTGAGCCCACACATCCCCTGGTGGGAGAGGGGGCTGCATCCGTGACTTGGCTGAAGGAGCCAGGCTGCCTGACCTACATACCCAATGCAAGAAAGAGCTCAGTCCCTTCTCTGGGGGTGTGGGCACAGGGGTGGCTGCATCACTGTGGTGGTGGAGTGGGCTATTTATCTCTATGCACTCTTCCCCCTCACCACTCACCCTCCCACAGCAACCAACCAGATTCAACCCCACCATTCCCTCCGTGAAAACCCTTCAATGGGTTCCCATTGTGATGTGAATGAAACCAGCTCTTTGCACAAGACCCTGGGTGATGGCCCCATGTCCACCTCAAAGACTTCCCCCGTGTTCCTCTCCCCCCTCCAGCATCATGCCCAGGCCCATTGTCTTAACTACTTTCTCTGGGCCTCCCTCATGACAACATCCCATGGCAGGCTCCCTCTTGTCTCTCAGATCCCACTTTAAATGGCACCTTTACCTGATGGCCAAATATCAAGTTTCAGTAACACCCCCCACCCCAGCATTTATATTAAGTAGTTATTGAATGCATGATTACATGGTGGGTGAATGCAGGAACAAATGAAGCTCCAATGGCTAGTGTAAGTTCGTCTTGACCAGCCAGGGCCTTGGTCCCCCTTCTTCCTGCTCCTGATAGACCCAGAGGAAGCTGGAGGGAATGAGAT